TGTCTCCTCTACTCACATGGATAATGTTTCATTTTATTATGAAACAAGTGTTCAAAAGTAGAAGTATGTTCTCCAAAGAAGGATTGATGGTGAAAAAGATCTAGGTAAAGAAGCTCTTAATTGTAAAGAGATTATGGAGTTGCTGAAAGCATATTGGTTAATAAAGACTGTAATTAATGCCAGTCCTTGGTATGAGAAAACAATCAAGGAGTTCATTGTCAACATATCCAATGAATGTAATGTTGAAGGCAACAAGGAGTATAGAAAGGTTTATGATAGCAGAAAGTTTGTGAAGCTTTCACCTTCAATTATTAATTAATTGGGCATAAGCAAGGTTTCCTCTATTGACAAGATTATGACCACGGAAAGGGAAGTTGAGGAAGAAGAAGAAGTTGGCGGTGAGGAAGAAGAGGAAATTGCATAAACAGATGAAGAAGAATATTATGTTGAAGCAATGATGTATAATGAAAGTGTTTAGCTTCATAGTGATGCTCAGTTGTTAAAGACAATGTTAAATGCTAGAGCTTGTTATACTAAGTTGATAAAAGAGATTGAAGTTAAGAATGAAGGTATTTATCATGGGTTGCTGAGTTTCAGTTATAAGTTGTTTCTTAGGAAATATTTCTTAGACATTATGTCCAACATTTGTGCACTTGTTGATGAAAGTCATCTAGTTTTTGAAGAAGAAATTATTGATTTTTTACACCTTAACTTGTTGTTGCTAATTATGATTTGGTGTTCCCTTGAATATGGTCTTGTGTTCTTGCTCTATGGTACTTGCTCCCTTTTTGAAGTATTTTGGCTGAAGATGTGTGTTGGTCTAGTTGGCTATTGTTCTAGTCAAGATTTTGGTTTAGATCCTGAAGCTTGCTGTTTTGTTTGTGGTTGTTTTCATACCTTTTCTAAATTGATTAAAAGGGGGGAGTAATGATCTTGATCATGTGAGACAATATGTTCCAGCATGATGTTCTATGTGTGTGTGTGTGTGTTTGATTCGTTATCGCACATGGGTCAAAAAAACAAGTTAATAAATGTAGTATCCGAAAGCGACACTCGAATCGTATCACTAGGACTCTTGATTATTTTAACCAACCTATTGAAATGAATGGGGGTTTAAGCTTTCACTTACGATTATGGTTAAAGGAATTTGATTACAAATAAGATTAACGAGTTAATATACTGATTCAGTTTCTAACTTATCACTGGTTATTATAACTCCAATTTCCTAAGCAGATTCGATCCATGTTCGATTACAATATCGATTGAACAAGTGCAATTAATATTATATGATTTACGCTCCTATTTTCCGAATTAAGCAAACTATTAAGATTACGCGAATTAACTAAAAAGTTATGTTAAACACGATTAAGCTTAGAAACATGCATCTATTGAATTAAATCAACATATTCTATGAAATTCGAATTAAGAATGCAAGAAGCACAGAATAATATTGAAAGTAATCAAAATTGAATTGAAAATTATAATAACCTCAAAGTTTGATGGAATCCAAAATCAGTAGATTAACCTTTAGAAATTAGCTCTCCATATAAATTCTTAGCGACCGTCTATTCTAATTTACGTGAAATCAGAATACCTCTCAGTAGCACTGTGTTTTATTTTAAATAGTACAAGAAATTGGACTCTAAGAATACCTGGCCCGAAAATATACATTTGGCCAACAAACTAATTATTTTATTAAGTATGGAACAAAATTCAATAAATTGATTCTTCTTCACTCCGAATCAGCTTTTGGAATCAACATGAAACTTGTAGCTTTTCCTCTTAGCTTCCTACTAATATCATAATGCGTCAAACGGCATCTCGTAGCTCAAATTATGATCGGCACAGTGAGACAATGTCAAATTACTGCTTATTGAGAAAATAAGTAACAGAAATAAAATAAAGGGAAATTAATCTAAACTTAGAAAATATAATAAAAACAATAAAAATAACAAGAGAACTATAGAATTGTCATAGTACAATTGTAAAAGAGTGTGCATGAAAATGCACTGATCAATGTTTATCTGATCTTTTAATGTGTAGTAACCATCTTTGATCTTTGATCTTGGATATATGTTTTGTTATTGTGTTGTATACTCTGATATGACATATTTTTATATGGTGTATGACTTGTGCTACTTATTGAAGATCACATCTTGTAAATTGTTTTAGCTAAAATTTGTTAAAGAGGAACATTGTTGTTCCTTTTGATTGACTGCATTAGGTAAAATAACATAAATACAAGGTATATTTTTGTATAAAGGCAACATATGGAACAAGATGTTCCAGCATGTGTTCTTGCATATGGCCTCAGTCTATAGACCAAGATTTTTGAGTGAATATGTACGAGTTGGTGTTTGATTCCCGGAAGATTTATTAATGTATCTTTTAGCAAATATTATTCAGTAAGATTTTCTAAAAAAAAAATTGCAATCCATAAGTTTGAAGAAGATATAATTAGATATGTATTAATTAAAAAAATTGGAGTTGCAAGATTTGACTGGATTTGCATTGAAGTAAAGATTTAATTGGATATGAATTGAAGATAGATTTAGTTCAGTTTTATCCAAGATTATGCTGAAGATTTAATTAAACAAAATTTTCATGAAGAGATGGGATTTGTTTTAATTACCATATAAAGATTTGCAATCTAAAATTTAGAAGTGTGGTTCAATTTTAGCCATATATTTATTATGAATCTTTTACTTGAAAAGTTGGAATTGTGAGTTATATCAAGTAAAGATTTTATTTGATTGGTTCAAGATTCTGAATTCTGTCACGAGGACAAATATCGAACCAAATGTTATAACATGTGAGCAATATCTGACCTTTGACGGAAGACCATCATTGTTGATATTCTGAGCGCAATTTCTAGTTGTTTGCAGCCTAAATGGTTGTTATCTTTTATTAATGTGTTATTTGGATTTGTTTGTTAAGGATTGAATGAGATCAATTCAATTTAATTGTAAATTTAAATTTGAATTTGAATAAAAACAAATCAAATTTTTTTTGGGGGAGTTTTGTGGAAAAACAAATCAAAACCAAATCCTCTACAATTCTGGACGTGATCAAATGCCCATTGGAAAAACCTAGAGTTTGCATTTCTATTTAAGGAGATTCAAACCTAACGTTTGAGGTGTACAAGAATAAAAGATTCCTTGTGTTAGGGTTTATCATTTGAGTCTTTGTTTGTGTTATTTTGTGCACCACTTTATCGCTTTCATTCATATCTTAAATCATAGAGTCTGGTTTGTTTAGTTGAGTTGTAATTAAATTTTTTTTAAGTTGTTTATTGAAGTTGATCACTTGGGATTAGTGACTGAGAGAAAGTAAGAGGGGTTCTCATATTTAGGGTGAATCCTAAATAGAAAGTCGTGGGTAGTATTAGGAAGAGGTTGTAAATAGGGTGTGTTCATGTAAGACTTAGAGTACTAATACTATTGATAGTATATTTCCTTTCTTGAGTTGGACGCCCTCTAGATATAGGTGTGGTTTGCGGTGAGTTGGGTTAACAATTCTCATATGTTATTTATTACTTTAATTTTTAGTTGTTATATGTCTTGCAAACTAGTTTTTTCTGGTATATAATATCTCTGACATTTGGTCTGATATTTGTATGTGGCTGAATAAGATTTCATAAAATAATCATATTTTTTAAATATTAAAAATTAAGAAAATAATTTCACAATACATTTGATTTTTTTAATTATTAAAATATTTATTTAAATTGTTAAATTAATTAAAATTGCTTAAAAAATAATTTTTATTATACTTTTAAAATTATTCAAGCTGATAATGTATTCCCCTAGTGTAGGTTCATAACGGTTTGGTTTATATTATAATTAGGGGTGGTAAAATGGATCGTGATCCGTCGAACCGGTCCGCACACCAACCAAAAAATGACAGGTTAGATTGAGATTTTGGGCCCGTCGCCCACCAAAGTTCGCTCCACTAAAGACCGCCACTCGTCAACGCCTGTCCCGTCCAATCCCGACATCCGCCAAAACTCATCACACCTATTCATTTAGCTTGTTTCACTTTAAATCTACTTTAATTATAGTAATTTCAGTTCTTGATGATTTTATTTTATACATTAATTTGTGAATGTATGTAATATTTTTTGAGGTAAAATTTGTTAATAAGATGCTTTATAAAAAATTGTTCTAAAATATAAGTGAAAAATATAATTGAAATATATAAAAAATTAATAATATATTAAAAAAATAAAAAATAAAAAATAAAAAAGTAGGCGGGTAAGTCCGCCACCCGCCAACCCACCATCTTGACCGAACGTGTTTGATTTTTATACTCATTTCTATTTTGAAAGTTTATTCAATCAGCTCTTTTTTTTTACGGAAATAATCCGTTTTGCCACCTCTAATTCTAATAATAATAATAATGACCACTATGCACCTTTGTTTTTTAATTATATTTTTATCTAATTTTCTGCTAATATAATCAATGTGATCTGACCACATGTTTGGAGATAATCAAAGGGTGATAGGACCATCAAAGATACATACATCTCAGAGTTGAACTGACTAGTTAGAATTGGAGATGAAAAGACAATATTCATATAAGAGAAAACACCAAGGTAAGTAACACACTAAAAAGTTGTCAAAAGGCTACAATTACATTAATCCAAACCCCTTTTGTATCCTTCCTCATTAAGACAAGTCCAGGCCCCCATCCTTCTCTTCATGTGTTTCCTTTTCCTTGTAATCACCACATGCACATGTCAGTCTCAAAATATATCACTCTAATAATTTTTTTTTGCGCAACTGTAGAGACTAATTCATCTCGTTAATAAGTGTTTCGCATAATTGCAAAGACAAATTCATTTGATTAATAAGTTTTGTGCAAAACTGGGGAGACTAATTCATCTAATCGAATAAAACCACATCAGACGACAAAGCTCTGGCTCATCAAAAAGTTTCAAAAGTTTTCCATGCACCTAACCTTTTAACGCCATCACATGTCTCATATTCACATATTTCATCATGGCACTAAACAGGAACCAATTCTACAACCTTGGATATCAAGCTCTCCCACCTATCATAACTCAGGATAATCCATTTCACTATCACCCTCCACAGCCTGTTTCAGACTATGCTTTTCCCATATTTGCCATTGTTGTTCTCAGCATCATTGCTACCATTTTGTTACTCCTCAGCTACATCACTTTTCTAACCAAATTCTGCTCAAACTGGAATCAAGTTAATCCAACAAGATGGATTTCAGTCCTTCGAGCTCGACAGAACGATGAAGATCACTTCATCGCATTGTCTCCTACACCGTGGAACCGAGGATTAGACGAATCGGTCATCAGAGAAATCCCATCATTTCAGTTTATAAGAGGTGAATGTGAAGATCAAAGTGTGTATGGTTGTGTGGTTTGTTTGACAGAGTTTCAAGAGCATGATGTGATAAAAATTCTACCAAATTGTACCCATGCTTTTCACTTGGATTGCATTGATATTTGGCTTCAAACAAATTCTAATTGTCCTCTTTGTAGATCAAGCATTTCAGGCAATAATACAACAAATACACCATTTGATATTATCATAGCTCCAAGCTCTTCTCCTCAGAATTCTTCTCAGTTACTCTCTAACTCATCAAGTGATGAAGATTTTGTTGTCATTGAACTAGGTGGAGAAGAAAATGAGGTTCAACAAGAAAAAAGTGACTCAAGAGGAAGCATAGCACATAGTAGAAACTATCACTCTACAAGAGAAATGAAACCAAAGTGTCCTTATGTTTCCATCATGGGAGATGAGTGTGTTGATATGATCAGAAAGAAAGATGACTTGTTTTCGATTCAGCCGATTCGAAGATCTTTCTCATTGGATTCTGCAAATGATAGACAAATGTTCATGGATGTCCAAGCCATTATACAACAAAATGAGGCTAGTGCAAGTGAGGATTGCAATAGCAGAAGTAAAAGAGCATTCTTTCCATTTTGTTATTATGGAAAGGGATCCAAAAATGTAATGCTTCCATTTGGAGAATGATGTTTAGTTTAAAATGATTTTTCATATATTTTTCTGTTTTGTTTTCTTTATTTCAAGTTTTTATCCAAATGAAGTTAGATCTTGGAGTCTCAGAGATAAGTAGCAGAAATGCAGAATGTACAGGGACTTTTGCAAGTTATAGTGGTGACTTAGTGTCAATCACAGAGAGTGTGCTCCTCTCAAAATTTCAGATCGAATTCTACTATGTGCTAACAATTTTTGTGATGGATCAATCAATTCAGAATTTTGTTACGACTTTAAATGGGCTTCCGCAAATTAACGGTAAAATATTTTCTCTTGGTTAGTCAAGTCAGTAGTCGTAAAAAAAAAATGGTTTTAGACTTCAGTACCTTGCTTGAATTACAAGGAGTGGTTCTTTACTTTTGTGGAGTTTTGTTTTACTAGAAAGAGTGTAAATGATTGTGAATGATTGTCAGCACATTATCTCTTCCATGTTTTTTCTTTTTTTACTGGGAACAAATAATAGACTGACAAGTTATAAAACATTATGTTTCTAGGGGCCATCTTTCATGCATGCTAAGAGATAGGGTCTATCTTTTTTACATTATCTCTCAGATTTTAATGCAATGGTTGTTTATGTAGCGGTGTTCAAAACTATACCGATTTAATAGAAAATTGTAAAATAAAATTGAACTAAATTGAAATTGCAAAAAATTATGTTTAATTCGGATGTGTTTAAGTCATTTTCTAACGGAATCGCGTGATTCAGTTCGGTTTGCAGTTTATATTTTACAAATCGAACCAACTCAAATAAAACTTCATTATGTTATAAAATTTTATTAACCAATATATATTTCTTTAATTCTTTAGAGAAATCAACATGTATTATGTGTATAGTTTATCATACTTTGTATGATATTTATTTTAATTTACAAATCATAAAAAAATAAAATATGATTCATTTATAAATATTATTTTCACAAAATATATTTTATCGTATTTGTTGTATAATATTTATTTAAGAATGCAATCTTGTCAATATCATTTTTTAGATTTTGATAAATTATAATATGCAATTTGATGTATCAAATTATAAACTTATTTTGTCAATTATAAATTTTTTTATGATAATGTATGAATAGTTAAATAAAAAATTATATTTTCTTCTATATGTGTACGTATAGTTTAATAATTTTTTTGTAAAAAATAGAATCAATCGAACCAATTCAAACCACATTAGTTTAGTTTGATTTAGTTTAAATTTATTTTTAAAAATCAACTGAACTAAATTAAACCACATTTTTTTTTTCTTACAGTTGATGATTTTTTCTTCAAAATCGTCCAATTACATCACAAACACCGCTACGCCTATGTATTGACCATGAATACAGATTCTGACTACAGAGCAAGGAAGGTGTAATTTGGGGAAACTGGTTATTTGAAGCAAAGAGGTTAGAGAGTAGGACACTGAGAAACCATAAATAGCAGCATGTGAAATATTATGTATGGAAATTATCACTGTTTCTTTAGGCCACACCACAATGATATGGATATGTGGAAACAACTTTATTATAGAGCAATAAATGTGTCCCTTATCTAAAATTCAAAGTCTAGAGAATATCATTACACGAGGGTTGGTATTCCACCTCTATCTATATGTCCCTATCAAGTCTCAATCATTAGTACTGTCTCCATGGAGGTGTTAAAATGGGCCGAAATTCATAGATCGGTCTATTAGCCTCGAAAAAAGTTAGAGTTTAGATCTTAATTTTTGAATTCATTTATTTCTGGACTTTTTTTAGTCCGGTACCAAAAAACCTTAAAAAATATGGATCAGTATGAGTCATAGGTAGTTCATCAGTAAAAAAATTTAAAATTTTTAATACAATTATGATTATCCTTTCGTAATTCATGAAAAAAAATTTTAAAAAATAGAAAATGATTATATATAAAATTTTATATATGGTGTTAGTGAAGAAAGATATAAACAATTTGCATAAACAGTTTATACGTTATTTGGTCAATATAAATGGACAATTTTGATGTTCAAAGTGACAAAATTTTAGATATGTTATAAATAATTTGCGTATTATGTATTTTAATTTTTTTAGTATTATAAAGGTATAAATATCAAACAAAAGTTGCTGGTTTGAATTAATTTCAAACTAAAATGTTTCATCTTAATATAATTATGTAGATAGTATAGAAAAGACACCATAACGTATTCTAATTAAAAATAAGGTTGAAATGTGGTTTAAAAAGCTCTTATGTAATTTTTTTAGGAGGATGGACTTAGTCCGTTTAAGGTCAGATAGTCCGCAGTCAAGACAGGGCTGGACCTGGGTAGTAAAAATAGAGCCCATTTAAATATGGGCTTTTTTGAACCCGACCCTGAAAAATCTGAGGTCCGTATGAGCCGATCTGTTTAGGGTCGCATAGCCTATTTCAAAAGCTATATCCATGGTATGATGCGGTGGGAGAACTGACTTGATTATTTTGCGTTCGATCGTAAATGTTGCGATTAGCAAGAGTCGCCACCGACTTTTCTTTTATCTAAAAGGAAAGGTGAAAAAGTACAGGAAAGACCTTTGAGATTGTTTCTTGAGTTCGGAGGGTAGATTATGAAAAGGGAAGGTATTATCACCCTTTTCATCCATGGTTTTCCATGGGCTCTTAGTTACTTGCTAGATCACTTGCTTTTGTTTGAAATTGTGCTTTGTGTGGTTTTGAAAGTATTTTGTAAAAGAGGTCATTGTTTTAGGCAATCTTTGTAATGATTCTCGTTCGTAAGAATGTATACAGAGATGTTGATCTTTTTGAAAATGTTTTCAATGTTTGTAAGATATTTGAAAATGTGTGCGTTTGTTTTGAAAATAACAAGGATATTTGTTTTGAAACGGAGCAAGTAACTAAAAGTAATCTACCTACTCAAATGTCTTTCTTGTTTATTTTCTTTTCCTTTGACATTGTTGTCTTACCATTGATTTGGTAAGCAACCCTATCTTTGGATGTAAACGGGACGGACGTGGGTCATCGTATAGCCATGATTAGCAATGTTGCAAGGTACCTTAGCATTTTTGAGGGACTAAGATCATTTTTGTAAGACAACTTTGAATAGCGTCATCGAGGGACTATGATCTCGTATTTGTTTGTTTTTGCTAAGACACCTTACATGCGTAATATGGCCATTTTTGTAAGGCAACCAAGTGGGATAACCCTAGGAGTGTTTTGTGTGCAAGTGTGCCATTTTCATGCTTGATTTTGTCTTGAATTAGGGTTTTCTATTTGATTGGTTTTATCTTGCCATATAAACCCTAGTTACTAGCATGTTATGTAAAAGCGATAAATTGCGAAATTTAAAGATTACTACGCTATTACAACACTTGTGGGAGGGGGTATACAATTTATGAATGGGGATTGCAATAATATAAACCTAATTAGTCTATTACAACCAAATTGAATATGTACAAATATTGGAATAAATAATATACAAGATGAATTAAACATGCAAAGGTATGCAAATGCAAAGAAGATTTTGTTTGGTTTTTTATATGAAAAAAAGGTTTTAACCTAAACCTAATAAATAAATCAAGATTAACTTAAATCAATTAAGAAAAGAAATTATTTTTTAGAAAAGATTTTTTTGAATAAACCCTAATTCTATTTGATTAAAAGAAAATAAATTACTTTAAGAAAAAGTAAGTACTTTTGTATTTTTTTTGTCTTGAAAATAATACATGGCATTATGAGGTATTTTGGTCCTTTTATATTAAAATAAATATTTAATGAGTTTAAAGAAAAAATAAATATTGAACTAGTTCTAATTTAATTTACAAATTTAATTAATAAAAATGGATAATATATATAACTAAATAAAATATTTTTTGTGAGAAAAATAAAATAAAATAAGTTAAAATATCAATCTATCATTTTTATATTTTTTATGATTTTTAATATTAAGAAAAATATATTTAAGAAAATAAAATGAAAACAAAATAAAAAAATAAAATTATATGGGCCAGGAGTGTCATAAGCAATCAGGAGGTGAGTGTTAGAAAAAATCACAAAGCCCAAAGTTCAGAGGCCCACGCTGCAAAGGGATAAAAAAATGGCAAAAAAATGTGAGAAAATGCAAAAGGCAGGCGCTAAGGCTCGAACCTGTGACCTATAGCATTTTTGCGCGCTGCCTTACCACTGGGGTGGCTGTACATCCGTTTATAGAAACACAAAGATAAATATATATTAGAAAACGCCCCCTGAAGGCAACTTCATCTTCAACCTTGAGCCATGGTCGGACCACCTGTATCTCTCTCATTTCTCCATGAAAATGGAAAGTCCAAACATGAAAATTATGGTGTTTCTTCCCACGAGTTCAACCATATAATTTATGTAAACTAACAATCAAAGATCAAAGCTAATTTTACTTGCCCTAATTTGAAACCTAATTTTTATAGAGATTTCAAATCCAAAATTCTCTATGCACAATTAATATAAATGAAATCTATGAACATGGTTAACTTTAGAGCAAGGATATCTACATTTATCTTTCACAAATCAGGATCAAAGGATGCTTGTATGAAGAGATAGAAGTTTGAGTTTTTACCTCTTTCAGTTGAGATCGTGAATGGAGTTTGGGCAAGTTTTGAGAAGGCCTGAGGATCTGTTTAGCTTGCCTGGACCTCCCTGAGTGTATTCCAATTCTTATCTTGTCTTGAAAGTCTCTGAATCTCCCTACTCAAGTCAACCTGCAAGCTTGATATTTGAAAATGGTGGATTGAGGAGGAGGAGTTACAGTAAGGGAACAGGGGTCTGGATCACTTGGGTGTGATGTATATTAAGTGTTTAGGTGGTTAAAACTCAAAACGCACGAGTGGATTTGGAGATGACTGAGTAAGGTTCAAAACTGTCAAGCTATGGCAGATTTTCAATGGCAAAGTGTTTGGGAGTGTTTCTGAGTCTTAGCATTCGTGTGTTAGGTTGCAATACACTTGTGTATTAGTATGGAAGAGGTTAGACTTCAAGCTTTTTCAAGATTTCTG